CCATTTATCCCTCCGCCTTTCAACTAGCCCCACATGTGATTATCGGCCAGGCTGGCACAATTAACTAACTCAATTGAGTCCGTGAACGAACAAAAGAAGTATTTATATTACTAAAGAAGCTCTATAATGAAAGTTAGAAAACAAATTAATCTGATCCCACCTAACATTACTATTTATACACCTAGAAATACAACAGTAATTTTTGCAAATTTTAAGTGTTTTTCAAAGATTTTTGCTCATCAGTGTGATTTCTATAGCAAAAACTCAGACTATTTTTTATTTTTGTTGGTGTCCCTGGTTTATTGAAAATAGCATTGTGTTCAATGGAGAAAAAGGGTTAGTTTTACAGCCAGCTCAGCTGAACACATCTGCTGTGCTACGGAAAGTTTCGGTGGTTTGAAGACAAGCCTTTTAAAATATGCTGGATATCTTTTGCCTGGTACATTTAAAAAAATGCCCTATAGTTCTTGGGCATGGATTGTACAAAAATGGAAACCCTTTATTACTACAGCTAGCTACTGTTAAGTCAATCGTTTTACGGTGACGCTACGTGCGAGCAGGACGGCTCCACAGGGTTTCAGGACTGACATTTGAAGTCGACTGCCAGGCTTGTCTTCCAAGGCCTCTTCTCTGGGTGGGTTTGAACCATCAGTCTTTTGGTTAGTAGCTGAGCACTAGCTGCTTGCAACAATCAGAATCTTTATGATGATTACTAGGCTGCGATTCACATGGTTGGCAGTTTGAAACCACCAGCATCTCCTAGGGAGAAAGACTGGGCTTTCTACTCCTGTAAAGTGTTCGTCTCAGAAACCCTCAGGGGGGATCACTCGATGGCAGCGAGTGAGGAGTTGTTGATATTTTGATCAACACCAGCGAACATTGTTGAGATCAGCTTTGTACAAGACATTTCTGCGGTGATGGAAACGTGCTACATCTGAGCTCTCCAGGACATAGTCACCATGTGGTTATTGGGCACATAGAATATTGAGTGTATCTGAAGAACTAACGTTTTAACTTGCCTTATTTTATTTAAATACCACATGTGGCTATATTGACAGAATTGTTCTAGATCAGCGCTTCTCAACCTGTAGGTCGTGACCACGTTGGGGCTTGAATGACCCTTTCACAGGGTCACCGGATTTATAGCAGTAGCAAAATGACAGTTATGAAGTAGCAATGAAAAAAATTTTATGGTTGGGGGGTCACCACAACATGAGGAACTGCACTAAAGGGGTGCGGTGTTAGGAAGGTTGAGAAACACTGCTCTAGATCATTGTTAAATCCTATTGACTGAGTTGAATTTTACAATGAAAAAGAACACTTTGAGGTTGCCGTCAATGTTTTAAATAAACTGCTCACTTAAATGTGAAGCTTTCAAGGTAAAGCATCTCCAAGATAAAAAAGTGACACTTTACATGGCCATAAAAGAATTTTCATTAATTTTCTCGAAAGCCCATACAGCATTTGTGGGTACTTATCAATCTTTCTTTTATCCAGTTTAAAACAAACAAACAAACTCCTAAAATTGGCTCTCTTGGTAGACTGACATTAATAATTCTATTATTAATAATGTTGCCTCAAGTGAAATTCTAGGTTGAAAAGGCTTAATTAAGGCAAGGTGTGGTTCTGCTTCTGTTGTTTAAGGGCAAGGGCAGGTGACCCAAATGACACAAGGAGCAGCAAGCTTCGGGATTTCAGGCCAACAGAATGCCCGTGCTCCCCAGACTTCAACTTGGTGGAAGAGGCAGACTGCACTAGCCATGGCTGGAGAATTACACTCTAACAAGAACCCCACATTCTCAAACACTACATATTTTTAGAGGAAATGGGATGACATCATTGGGGTCAGAAGAACCTGGACTTCCCAGGTGGCATAAGAAACCCGTTCTTGCACCCCAACTGCCGAGGTAGTTTGCATAGCAAGCGCTCCCAGCTGTGCTAGTTCATCACAAAGTGACCTCAGTGGACTAAGTATGTCTGTCTGTCCCTGTGAATCAGTTGTACTTCAGAAATCGAAGACAAAATATTAAAAATCAAGAAGCCTGATGAAATTACACCACAGCATGTACAACAAAAAGTGTATTTAAAAATATTTATTCAAGTATAGTGAATAATAACATCGTGTTAGAATTCATTTTAAGCCAGTAAAAACAATCCAAAGTAAAATTAAAAACAAAACAAAATACACTTCAAAGTACATAAAAATTCTGGAAATGGGTCTGATAAATAATATAGTATCCTTATGTGCTTTTTAGGAGGCTTAAGCCATTGTAACTTTTGGTAGCAACAATCAGATCTCAGAAAAAATAGTGGGTTGAGAGGAGTACAAATAACATAAGGTGAAATTACTTTCTAAGTAGCCTTCTAATGAGAGCTAAATAGTGGGTTGAGAGGAGTACAAATAACATAAGGTGAAATTACTTTCTAAGTAGCCTTCTAATGAGAGCTAATTCACCTTTTAAAAAATTATGAAATCTAGAAGTTGGCGCATTCCCCACTAATATTTTCCATGTAATTCTGGCATTAGTTTCTGAAGGTGCCCTCTTCTAATTTCCCCAGATTAGGTTAAGTTGCATTGTTTCTGTAAATTTCTGCATTGTTATGTTCAGAGAAATTTCAGCACCTATGTAATGATGTGGTCTTGTGTTTCTCCTACCAATTAAATTGTGAACTCCTTTCAGGGAAGCAAATGCGATGCTATTTAGATCTGTCACCCTGGTATTTGCTATGCTAGCTACGCAATATTTGTTAAAGATATTGTTATACACATTAATGACACTTCAGCCTAGTTTACTACTGAAGATGATGTACGATTACATAGAATGAGTAGTATATACAGACATATAGAATAATTTTACTCCTCATCTAGTCTGAAGAACTGGAGATACTGCTGAATGCTTTTAGCTAACAGATGATATGGACGAAAATAAAGGGGAACCTGAGGGTGAGTCAGAAGAAAGTTGGGGCTTTCTACGCCCACTAAGAGTTACAGTCTCGCAAACCCACAGGGTAGTTGTACTCTATTCTATAGGGTTGCAATGCAGCTATCTAAGGGGCAACTATTGGTTTCTCCCCATCCATAGGAAAGAAGTGATAAAAATCAAGACATGTGGAAACAATTAGTCTGATGGACCACACAAATAACATACTCCATAACGCAGAGAACAGGAGAACTCGGTGGTGTCCAGCTACCACCACCAACTGCTCAGAAAAGAATTACATTAGAAAAGGTCCTGGATAGAATGGGAGGAAAATGTGGAACAGAACTCCAGGTCATGAGACCAGGCTTATTGGCTGGATGAAGACTGGTGTGATTCCCGAAGACTATGGTCTTTACCTTTCAGGTTTGGAATTGAACTCACCTCCACATTATAATAATCACCATCTAAGATCATAAGAGTGGCATTTACCCAAGGACAGAATTCAGAGGGTTAGAAAAGGATCCATGGAAACAGGACACACAGGGAAGGGGGATACATTGAATCTGAATGTGTATGAATGTAAAGCTAAGATCTGCTCTGTAAACCTTCCTTAATTCACAATAAAAATGAAAAATAAAGGCAACTTTGGTGTTTAGTAATTGCATTCTAAATTAATCTTTGCCATTTTAGAATATGAGCTGCTTTATAAGAATGATTTCTAAAATAAATATTACTTGCATGCTGCTGAAATATTAATAATGTATGCACATTATGAATTGGAAAGGACTTCAGAGATCATTTGGTACAACATTTTATAGATGAAAGACACCAAATTCCAGGGAAACAAAATGACTTTGTTGAAGGTTATGTAGATAGAAGAGCCAAATCTGAATTTTTGTATTAGTTTTCCTCTTGCTACATCCCATGTGAGAGGAAATTCATTAAAAATTTCTCCTAAAATGTATCAGCGAGGCTTGCATCCAATCCTAATAACAGTAACATCATAACTTAAAAGAAAAATACTTCAGTGAAAAAGAAGTGGTTTTTATTCAATTGGGATGTTTCACAATCTATGCTCAGACTCTGAGAAATTTACTTAAGAATTCCATGATTGCTTCCAGGGGAAAACTTATTGAGCACGAACACCTTTAACTTACATACTATATTTCTGAGGGCTAGATTTTATCTAATGCTTCTGTATCATTATTAATGTGTCAGTATTCAGAATCTAAATCTGAGTGAATTTATACTTTCTACAATTAATTGTAGAACTCTGATGTAATTACTGTCATTTTAAACTATGTAACACACTCAAAGGGATGAGGTCATTCTTTTTCATTTACCATTTTCATACTGGTAAGAAAGTAAATAGGGATTACTGTATTTTCATACAATAGTATCAAAGGCAAAATAAATCCTTGAAAATCAGCGGTTTCTCCCCCCAAACAATAGCCCACTCAAAAAAGAAAAAAGAATTTCTTTTTGAGTGGGTCATAAACTGAAGCTGAGTTACGGAAAAGCTCGACATGTGGGAGCCTCCATGGCGACACCATGGCTAGAATGAGGAGGTAGTGCAATCTCGTTAAAATTTGAGCCTGGGTTCTGGTTTAAAAAGGGGCTAGTAGGATCCCTGAGTCTTACTGAGAGACTAATGCTAATTAGAGAATTGGTTAAACCTTTACAGCTCATGAAATGCACTTACCTGTTGTCACCATATGAATTTACCTGTGGCCATGTTTGTGGGCTACCATTTTGAAAACTTAGAACTTGGTGCTGTGTCATGATAATGGGTGGACTTCCAGTCCTGCTATAATACAATAAGGATTTAACTATTGAGCATAAAGGATAACCAATCACCACACAAAGTAATAGTAGTTATTATAAAATTAAAAATGGTAGGAACACTTAACCTACTAATATTTGTTTGAAAATGCTTACCCCTATAAAATTGCCATCGTTATATAAAGGCTTTCATAATGTAATTCCCTGCTTCTTAAATTTTAAAAAGAACAGAATAAAACTCTTAATTCTAAGTTTTTGCCACTACTCCCGAGGCTTGTACAGGAAGTAAAAGACCAATAAGTCAAATCAGTTATTTATGAAACTAAATTCAGTGTGAACCCTGCATCAAGCCTATATACAAACTATTTCAGACAAAATAAATATATAGGTTGACACTTATAAAAATTTTCCATATTACTCATAGAAACAAGCTTCATCAAATTTACATACTGAGTATAAGAGAAATCATTTCTACTTAATATTTTGCTGTCCTCCTAAATAAAAGTGTCTGTCTTTGAGGTATCACTTTAACACATGCCAATATGACATGTGTTTGTAAAACAACCCAGAAGTCTGCCCTAAAACCCTGCCCCAGACAGCATAATCTCTGAGACTTACTAATAGGCTGAAGTAGACTTGTCTTTTCAAACAGGCAAGAGATATTTTTAATTGCTACCAAAATAAAGCAGACAGGTATTTTATTTCATAAAAGAGTGTTAAAAACATTTTAATTTGTTAAAAACATTTTAATTTATCATCCTCCTGCAGACACCATTCATTTAAAAATCCTCGCCAGGCCCAATAAGCAGTTTCATGTCCTCTGGCATTCAAAAAAAGACTTATAGGTTTAAAAGCAACATTAAAAATTTTCACCATTTTCATACATTACACCATAGTATACATAAAGCTATTAAAAATGTCAATGTCACTAGAACACTTGATTCAGCAATATTCATTAGTGGCTAGGTAGATTCCCTGTGCTGACTAGAGCAGAGACATTTTATAATCAACTAACACTAGCCAAAAACACACAGATATCAAAAACGATGTTTTGTATTTGACGCATGACTATCAAGTTACAAGACTGACTTAATGCTTTTAGTCAGAGCACATTGAAAATAGTTTGCTAAAGAGATAATGGTCCTATAAACAAAAAAATCTATATGGAAAGGACTACGATTTATTGCAAGGAATTATTATATAGTAAAGCCCACAGTCAAATAATTTTATAAAACAAATTTGAAAATGCAATGGTTTAGGTCAAAGTCACAGTCACTTCTTGGAGATTTCAGGGCTATCGGATGCAGAAGAATGTTTTTCCTTTTTTCTCTTCTTTTTTTCCTTTTTATGATGTTTTGCTTTTTTTGCCTTGTTTTTTCTTTCTTTCTTTTTTTCTTTCTTCTGAGATTTTTGCTTTTTCTGTTTTGAAGTATCCTCTTCAGTGGAAGTGGGTGAGTAGGACCTACGGACAATGATGCATACTGCTGATACTTGCATTTATGGCTAGTGAGTAATGTCAAGTGGTATTTGAACTGCTTTAAATTATTCCTGGAACTAGGCTAATGTAGTAAACATAAGTAAACACCATGAATGCATATTCTTTTAAATGCTGAACTCAGAATTTGTGCTACTTGGTCACAGACATTAAAACAAATAACTCTATTGTGCTCAACTCTTAATGATAAGTTTTGAATTTATTAAAATAAAGTTATTTCCCTATGAGTTTAACTTTTTCATGTTATAACTATCCTTCATAGTCTTATAAGGCACACAAAGTAGCATTCAGCAAACCTCATTATATACTCAATGTGCTTCTGGCTGCAATAATATCTTGCTATTAGGACATTCTTTTCTTTTAAAAGACCCACAAAAGGGTCTAATTGTATAAAAGAGACTATAATTATACCTTGATAAATGGATTAAAGATAAAAATTAGCAAAACAAAAGCACTTTTGTTGATTCTCTTGATTTGTCAAGTGAAAGTACTTGAACCTTCTAGATGTAGCATAAGAGAAAAGTACATTTGTATTCCATAATACTGTTCCTTAATTACAGAAAGGATGTTTTTAAATGAATACTCTATAAACAAGGAGGATATATCACCTCACCTTATATTTCTCATGTTTTAAAATGAAATACCCTATACAGATAAACAAGGATATGGATCACTTTACCTTATTTTTATCACATTATTCTAATAATAATTTAGAATAAACTTAAGAGCTCTTTCCTCTAATAGTAAAAAAAGAAGAAAGAAAAAGAAACAAAGCCATACAAACCCCCCAGACTATTTCACACTTTAAGATCTTATATGAGTGGTGTGAGGCTTTCAACGTACACTGTGACCCCACGTATTTATGGCAAGCCAGAAATTGAGTTAATTAAAAAATAAGAAAGGTGATTGAAAAAAATAAGAAGAAAGGCATCATAAAAGCTAAATGATCTAAACACTGGAATTTAAAACCCAAGCACAGAAAACATGACAGATATAAAGTATGAGGCAAATATATTTTATATAGTGTCTTTATAGAGCCTTCGTGAATCGCTTAATGGTTTTCTTCATGTATTGACTCTCTCTTTCGCCTTACTTAAGCAATGCTGTTTTCCTTTCTCCTTGTCTAGTTACTCTCTTTGTCTATAAACCATTTGTCTATCAGTTTGTCATTCTATGGATGTTAGTGTGTTGCTTTTTGCTGGAAGATATATATTTCAAATGCCAGCAGGCTCCCCCAGTGTACAGATTCAGCACAGCTTCCAAATTAAGAACAGACTGCAAAGAAGGAGTAGGCTCTCTACTTCTGAGGAACTAGCCATGGAAAATCTTATGGAAAGAGCTGAAATATTGTCAGATTCTGAAAATCTCAAGAAAAGAAGCAGAACATTGTCAGAGACAGTGCCAGAAGATGAATCCCTCAGGTCACAAAGCACTCATAATACGACTTAGGCAGAGCTGCCTTCTCAGAAGTACAGTTGGCCACTGTGAAATGCATAGAGGAGGGCCTGTGAGAGTGAAGCCTTTGGAACCTTCATTTACGGATGGGGCATGACTTGGAACGTATGACTTGGAACGTATGAAGGAAAATTCAAAGTTGTAAAAAGTGAAACGGAACACATAAAAATCAACGTTCTAGGCATCAGTGAGCTGAAATGGACTGGTATTGGCCATTCTGAATCAGAAAATCATATCGTTTACTACGAAACAATCAAGAGGAATGGCTTTGTATTCTTAGTCCAGAAGGGCATTTCAAGATGTATCTTGAAGTACCATGCGGCCCCTGGCAGGATAATACCTATCTACATCCTATGAAACACAGTCAATACAACTATTATTCAAATTTATGCACAAAAAGAAAAAAGAAAAAGAAAGAAAGAAAAGAAAAATAAATTGAAGAATTCTATAAAGGTCTTTAGTCAGGAATTGATTTAATATGCAACCCAGATGCATTGATAATTATTGGTGATTGGAATGCAAAGTTGGAAACAAAGATGAGAAAAGGTAGTTGGAAAATATAGCCTTTGTGATAGCAACAAAGCCAGCCATTGTATGACAACATTTTGCAAAACCAATAGCTTCTTCATCACAAGTACCTTTCTTCAACAATGCAAAAGGGGAAAATACACGTGGATTTTCCCCAATGGAATACACAGAAATCCAATTTGACTACATCTGTGTGAAGAAACACTAGGAAACTGAATATCAGAAGCTAAAACGAGGCTTGGGCTGACTGCAAAAAAAAAAAAAAATCAATTGCTCATATATAAGTTCAAGTTGAAATTGAAGAAAATTAAAACAAGTCCACAAGAGCTGAATTATGACCTTCAGTCTATGCCACCTAAATTTTGAGATCATTTCAAGAACAGATTTGCTGCACTGACTACTAATGACTGATGTGATGAGCTGTGTGAGGGCATCAAGAACATCAGATTTGAAGAAAGCAAAAGGTCATGAAAGACAGAAAGAAAAAAAAGATCAAAGTTGATGTCAGAAGAGACTCTGAAACTTGCTCTTAATCATAGAGTAGCTAAGGAACATGAAGGAAATAACAAAGTGAAAGTTCTGAACAGAAAAATTTGAAGGGCGGCGTGAGAAGACGAAGTAAAATATAATAAAAGGTGCAAAGACCTACAGTTAGAAAATCAAAAAGAACAAGTTTAGCATATCTTAAACTGAAAGAGCAAAGGAAGCACTACATCTCCATTGTATTACTGAAAGATTCTCTGGGCAAAACATTTCATGATTCAGGAAGTCAAAAGAAGATGGGAAGAATATACAGGGTAATTTTTCTACCAAAAATAACTAGTCAACATTCCACCATTTCAAGAGGTAGCAGCATATGAGCTAGAAACCATGGTACTGAAGAAGAAGTCCAAGCTACACTGAAAGCATAAGCCAAAAAACAAGGCTTCAGTAATTTATGGAACACGAGCTGAAATGTTTCAACAAGGCAATGAAGTACAGGAAGCACTCATTGGTCCATGTCAGGAAATTTGGAAGATAGCTATTTGGCCAACTGACTAAAAGAGATCCATATTTGTACCAATTCCCAGTAAAGGTGACCCAATAGACTGCTCACACTATACAAGATCATCCATATCATCTGCAAGTAAACTTTTGATAGAGATCTTCCAACAATGGTAGTACACTGACTGAAAGGGAGGCTCAGTACACTGCCAGAGGGTTAGGTCAGATTCAGAAGAGGACATGGAACAAGGAATATCATTGCTGGTTTCAGATGGACATTACTCAAAGCAGAAAATACCAGAAAGATGCTTACTTGTGTTTATTGATGTGCTCAGGCATTTGACTTTGTAGACCATACTAGCTGTCAGAAAATAGAGTATATGCCATATATAATTATAGCTAAGTGCCTTAAAAAATTCTCTGTGTATGACTATTCTAAAATGAATGGAATTATATTTATTATACAAGGAAGAAACTACCTCTTAATTGTATTGATCAGTTTCTTTAACCAAACAGTTTTCAAAAAAGAGTAAAAACTTACAGGTGACTGATAAATGTTTTGAAAGAAAGGACTTGCTAGTATTACTAGTAAGTCCATAAATCCTTTAAAAATTTAATTTCCTAGCTATGGAAATCATGAGAATACAAATATTTAAATTCTAGCTTTATAATATATGAGGAAAAAATTTATATGTGAAGAATTCACACATGTACATACAACAAAAGGCTTGGCTGATACTCTAACACTAAAAATTCCAGCTGAGAAAATGAACAACCAAAGAAGAGTTGTTATTAATTTTTGATTTTTCTAAAATTTGATTTATTTCACTTTGATTGTAATTATTTCCTTTTTCCCAATATTACATATATTATAAGCATTATATTATTTTTCTAATATTACAGTAACTATTGTAATTATTGTATTTATTCTACCTAAATTATAAATTATTTATTTACACCTTGATTTATTAAAAAAAAAAGATTTAGAGTGGCTGAGTTGATTTTATTTCTTATTTCTGATTCTAAGAACTTAGTTGAAACAATAAATAACATCTATTATAGAAAACTTATTATCAAATTAACTGAAGTACAAATAAAAATAAACTGTAAAAGTCCTTGCATTAAAAAAAGATGTTGAAAAATACCTTTTCCTTTTTTTTTTCAATTTGAATTTTTCTTTGCCTTTTGTTTTCCTCTCCTCATCTTCATTTACTCCTGTAAAACAATAAGGACACTCGGGTCACCGGGAATCTGTATGCCACCATAGTGTGTCGGTGTGGGGGTGGGTCCTGTAGGGCATGCTGTAATTTTACTGCCTGTATAATTTTCCTGCATTTTTTCCTGCAAAGATTTCTCCCTGTCTTGGTTTTCCTTACTCACTGAAAAAAAATCTCATGATAGTATTATATGCTTTTGACAGAAATTTGAAATGATACAAAGAGAAAAAGATGTAAGTACCCAATTTCTAATTGCCACGGAAAATCAATGCCAACAGTTTGACAGGTAACCTTTCAGTTCTTAAAAACACTACATCATTTTGGTATTTTTGTTGTTGTTTTTAATAAAATTAAGATTATAAATTATATATTCTCTAACTTCCTTTTAAAGTTACACATAGCTGTATCTTTTTCTAGGCATTCTTTCTATACACTATACATACATAGTTACATAAAGCCCTACTTTTTCTGCTTTGAAAAATGGACGGTGGCATCTATAATAGGCTCAGATATGTTTCTCTCAATAATTGAAATTTCTCCTTGTCATTATAGACCAATCTCAATTTTAAAAACAGAATCGTGTTTCACTGAATATATAGACTAAATGAATTCAGCTTTATTTTTCCTTGGGCCAGGAAGCACACAGCATTGTTTCTTAGTCTGGCTCTTAATTCTGCTGCTGCCACTCTTTTGAGGTTTTTCTGATGTCACAGCTTTTGGCCCTGAAATGAAGAGGTTCAGTGAACAGGTCTCAAGGCCTAAAGTTGTGCTTTACTCCTGGCTCTTCATTCTTGATGGTAATGAGATTCTCTCTTCCTGATTCTCAGATGGCTTATTTCATACTCAGCAAGATGACAAAATGGAGCAATCCGCATGTTAGATTTCTACATTTTACAATCACAATGAACCCTGGTCACTCACTCACACTCCCTAACTTCAAGCCCATGCGGATCCACAGGGACTCTATAGGATATGGTAGAACTGCCCCTGTGAGTTTATGAGACCGAACTCTGGTAACAATCAATTAACAGCAAATAAAATAGACTTTAGAAAAAGAAAATTACCCAGAGAGAAACATTATGCAATGATAAAAGGGCCACTCTACCAGTAATACATGACAATCATAAATGTGTGTACATTAAACCACAGTGCTGTAATGTAAGCAGTACAAACAGATACCCAAAAGGAGAAACAGACAAATCTTACAAATTTCAATACCTCTCTTTCAACAAATCATAAAACTAAACAAAAAGTCAGCAAGGATATATAAGAATACCAACCAATCAGATCTAATCAACATTTATAAGATACTCTACCCAACAACAGTGAAGAAACATCTCTTTTCAAGTACCTACAGACATGGACAAAGATAGATAATATTCTGGCCTCTAAAATAAATTCAGTAGAAATGACATCACCCAGAATGTGTCTCCAAACACAATGGAATTAGATGGAAAATCAATAATTAAAATAGGGAATATTTTCTTTTTTCTTTCAGTTGTGATGGGTAAAGAATCAAATGATTAAGTTGCGCAGAGCAATTAGTTCAATAAAAACAAAATAATTCTAGAATTTACGCCTTCTATCTTTATGAAGAACTAGCAGAACTGATGATACTGGGGTATCAGAATCCCAGGGCTGATGACAAAAGTTTATTTTCGATTGTTCAGTGTTTCGACACTGCAGAGAGCTCCTAAAAGGATTCTACAGCTATTTATTTAAGTTCCTTCTGAGCCAGGATTTGGAGGTACACAATGAATACACAACCAAGGAGTAGGGAAAGAGTTAGAGATTTGCAGAATAGAGTTTGGAAAATACTTCAACCAACCCTGGAGTACAAAATAGAAGGCAAAAGGGCTTTCGGTACTGTAGTACTTGACTTTTGTAATGATGAGCAGCAGTGTCTGTCTCTTGTGATGTCCAGGCAGTTAGCGGTTATGATCCAGAGCTCAGAAACATCTCTGGGGAAGTGCTCAGCTGATTTTTAATTCCCACCAGGGCCATCCAAGCTGAGGCTCATTAAACCAAACCCCCACACTCTATTGTGACTTCCAACCAACCACTTACCAAATATCTTTGGTAGCTCACTTATAAAAAAGCACATTTTGAATCAAATACAGACTTTATTCAGCTAAGCCGTGCATTACGAAGCTTGAAACCACTGCTGTAAGTTATTCACGTGAGTTTGATTCCAGCAGTGACTAGAAGGAGCGTGCTGATTAATACAATATGATATGCAAATGCATTACTGGGGAATTTTCTCACACCAAACAAAACATACTAAACCTCACATCGCCAAATTGTCAAAATACAGTATTTTTTTCTGGACTGAGCTAAGAAAATAATACAAATCTTTAGAGGATGAGAGATGAAGAGATAATTATTTCTTAATATAAGCAAACTCTAAATATTACATAACACAAATAGAATGGAAAGAGCACTGAATTCTTGAATTCCTTGGTTCCTTAGTAAATAGTGATGCCCTTAGAATACAAGACAATTTAAAAATGGTATAAAGCATTAACAATATTCCCCAAGCACTGCAGTGCGCTAGACTGTAACCATATCTTTGCACACATACACATACACCAACACACACAGCATCAATAGGAACTTACTATACGATCTTTGTTAGAGCAGCCCTGATGGTGCAGTGGGGAAGTGTGAAGCAGGTAACCAAAGGAGGGCAGTCTGCTTCTGTAAATCTTATGGGGTAGTACTACTATGGGGAAAGCTATGGAGCACAACTGTTATAGGACAGATCCTATCCCATAGGGTTAGGATAGGGTGGCTGAGTCACAATCAACAACAACAAAGGATTGGCCCCCAATTTTGGTGTGCACTGGTGGATATTATTTTCCGTTTTCCTAGCATTGGTGATATGATTTTCTAGGACCCCAGGTCTCAGGTTGTTTTAGTGTGATTAGACAGTGATTAGACATTTCCCTTCTCACCCTATCTAATAATTGATTACATTTGTTATCTAGAAGTTGTTAGTTTTGTCTTACATGAAAAGTATAAAATCACTATTAAAAATGTGCAACACAAAACTATGTACAAAACTTATGCAAACATTACTTTCATGTCTTGTTTTTAGAGTGCTACTTTTTTCTCCCCTGCCTCTTATTTCTACCTCATAATGGCAAAATAACAAATTACATAAGTATACTAATTTATTTTTGCTTTATCCTCAGTCACTATTTTTATCCTACTAAAAATAAAACAACAACAAAAACTACCAAGTAGAAAGAAAATGTTTCGAAAATGATGATGGCAACATATGTACAAATGTGCTTGACACAATGGATATATGTTTGGATTGTGATAAGTACTATAAAAGCCCTCAATAAAATCATTAAAAATAATCCCCAAACAACAAAAACTATTGCCTTTAGGGAAAAATTTAAAAATCCCCTAGACTATCTGCAGGATGTGGAATTATAACTCTCCCTCACCAGGCCAGGTTTCCATTCTAACCCCTTCAGAGGCTGAGGACT